TTTTTTCACCCTAAACCCTAAAGTACCCCTCCTAAAAGTAGTGTGCCTCCCCACAAGGTTCTTCAAGAGAAGATTCAAAACAGCTGTTGGGCCACACCTGTTCTGCCAAAAAAACAGATTCGCGCGAACAGAAAGTTGAGACTTGGCGGCAGGGAAGCTACCAGCACTACATCCCCGACTTCTCTCACTACATTCCAGGCTCTGGGAATCCACATCCATATCTATATCTATATCTGTGTCTATATCTATATCCATATCCATATCTATATCCGTGTCTATCCATATGACTCAGCCGTTTTGATTTTTGAATGACGGCGAGTTTTTCATTGCATGACCGACAGGTAGCTCCGGCAGCTCGGGTCAGCGTGGAGCCTTGGGGCAGCCAGGGTTGGGGCAACACACACATATGTATATATATATATATAATCAAAATGTATATACACCATATTTGTATATAGGCACATATTGTTAATAAAACACACATATAGATAGATAGATAGATAGATAGATAGATGGATGGATGGATGGATGGATGGATGGATGGATGGATGGATAGATGGATAGAAAGATAGATAGATAGATAGATATAGATAGATATAGACAGATATAGATAGATAGATATAGATAGATAGATATAGATAGATAGATGTAGATAGATAGATATAGATAGATAGATATAGATAGATAGACAGATATAGATAGATAGATGTAGATAGATAGAGGTATAGATATAGATATAGATATAGATATAGATAGATAGATAGATAGATAGATAGATAGATAGATAGATAGATAGATAGATATAGATATAGATATAAATATAGATATAGATATAAATATATATATATATATATAGATAGATAGATAGAACGATATATATAGATATAGATAGATATAGATAGATATAGATAGATATAGATAGATATAGATAGATATACATAGATATAGATAGATATAGATAGATATAGATAGATATACATAGAAATAGATAGATAGGTAGATAGATAGATAGATAGATAGATAGATAGATAGATATGTATGGAGGCACATCATTTTGAGGCTCGGTGCCGTTTTCAGTCTGGTTTCGCGGGAAGCCAAACGGAAACCATCATTGTTGGGGTCCAAATCCCTACTTTGACACACTGCCGCATGTTGACACATCCAGGCCCTCCCACCTTGCAAGGGAAACCCAAACACAGCAGGGGTTTGTTTCAAAGTCGGTTTCAAAGTTGGTTTCAAAGTGCGTTTCAAAGGGACATGACCCATTTAACCCAGGAGGTCCCTGAAAAAGCCGACGCGCGGAGTCTTTCGCGCGCAGTTCCTTGCGGTGGGCTCAGCACCTTTGCCTCCGAGGGGTTTCGACTTCTCCCAGTTCATGGGCGGCAGCAAGGGAGGCGGGGAAGCATTTTGGTGGAGGTGTTTCGTTCATGCATGTGGTTTGCTCGAGGGGACTCGTTTGGGGTGGTTTTTAAGGGGATTTAGCTTAAGGGAAGTTCGGACATCGTCAGTTTGGAATTCCCTCATGTAAAGACACACCAAGTTGGAAGAGGAGCCCAGAACCAAATCTCTTCCCACGCGGGTCCAAAGGGTGGCGCACACGAGGCTCTCAAGGCAGCCAGTCCAGGCCCAAGAGACGCTAGGCTTCGGCGGACAGGAGGGCAGTGCCAAATAGGCGATGGGTCAAGTGGCTGTGGCTCAGAAAAGTGGTACCTATGGAAGCGAAGACCAAGACCTGCGTATCCCCAGCTCTTTGCTTAGCCACAGCCATAAATTGAAAAAACCAGGCGATGTTCGTCCTTTCCATTTGCCAGGGTTCCATTTCGGGGTTCACCTATTTTTGACCACGCATTTGTTTCCTTTGAACGTCACCCCAAAGGAACTCTTGTTCAAATAAATGCGAATTGAAATGGGGCACCCTTTGGACAGAATTCGGCGGGATTCATGTCCACCAACCACTTTGAAGGTGTCCAGATGGTGTTGTTGAAACCGAAAGTTGAAGGGCTCCACGGTCAGAACCGATGCGGGTATGTCCCGTTGCCGTGTGCGCGTTTGGCCCAGTTGCGGGTTGACTCTAAGGTACATGGACTTTTCCAAGTACATGAACATGGGCTCTGGCTCGGACGCAGGTGGGGTTGCAGCATCAAGTAGGTTCGGTGGAGAACTTGATAGTTTGGTTTGTCTAAGGATCGGTTTGAGGGGCATCAAAGCCCATAGAGTTTGTTTGAAATGGGTTGAATCCCTCTTGGGGCAATTTTGAAAAAAGCATCCCTGCGGGGTTCATTTGCTCGAAGGCTCCTCGCGGCTTTTGGTATTGGGAGAGCATCGATTGGGTAATTGTAAACGCTGCGCGCTGCCCGCCTCGGCCCAGCCGAGCGAATTCGATTGCAAGCAGCAGAGCTGGTCCAGTGGCGATTCAGGAACGGACAGGTTCTGGCGTCGCTGGACCAATGAAGTTGCATCGGCCGAGGTGGCGAAGGAATCGCCGAGGCAAGGGCAAGGCAATGCATGCACCCCTGGATGCCAGTGTCAGAAGCGCGTTCGAGAAAACGATCTGGGCATTGTGTGTGCTGGCTGGGGGCTGTGTGTGTGGCGGGTTGCTGGTTGCTGCTGGAATGGGTAGCCTCTGTGGGTTGCTGGTTGAGCTGGGCTTGCTGGGGCTAGGCCTGAGGCCAGTCTCAAGCACGTGAGGAGGTCATGCTTTTCGGACCAAAACTATTTTTGTGGAAAATTTTAAGGGGGCTAGGCGCAGCGCTGCTGCTTGAATGGGTAGCCTCTGTGGGTTGCTGGTTGAGCTGGGCTTGCTGGGGCCAGGCCTGATTGGCGATTTCTGCAATTTACAGCGCGTTTGCGGCAAAAGCGGCTCTGGGATTGTGTCCAACGAGCGGGAAATTGCCTTCTTTGGGGTTATGTCCAACGAAACCCCAGTCATTGTTCCGCAGCCGGGGTGATTTCCCAAGGAGGGACGCCAGCCTGCATGAGCCAGCCGTTTGGAATCCTGTCAGGGTCGGGGGTTTCTATGTTTCCCCGTTTGGCGGTTCTAAGCATCAAAAACAGGTGATTTCCTCTTGCCAAGAAAGCACACCCAACATGGAGTCGAAGAAAGGGAGATTCAAAATTGGTCAACCCGGACGGTGTAATCCAAAAATCTATGGGTAGCTTGCCCATTCAGGGATTCTTCTTTCAAGAAATCCTCCGGAAACCCAGCGAAAACGGCTGATTTGAAAAGAATGGTTGGAATCACCCCCCCGGAGAAGAAGCCCCTCTGCCGCCCGCTTTGCCCTCCCAGGCGGAAGTGCGCATGCCCGGCAAGGTTCAAAGGGGGCGCTTTTGTCGCTAGGGTGATCGACACCTTTCCGCTTGGAAAGGCGATTTGAGGCAAAAGGAAACCAACCATTTTAGGACCCACTATGTTGAGCCCCCCCCCATTTGAGTTCACGGCCAAGACGTCAAAGTGAGAAGTGGAGAATTCGGTTTCTCGTGCCGGGCATTCAGAGACCAGCTTTACAAAGTCTGCAACTATCATGCCAGGGGCTTCAAAAACTGGTGGACATAGGTGTCCTTTGTAGGTTAGTTTGGCTAAAAATAGATGGCACTGGTATAGTTTTTTCCCCCCATTTACCAGGGGAACCCCATCTATTTTTCCAAAAGGCCACCTATGCTGGTGGACCCTTGTCGAGCTTTTTTGATTTGCAAGCCAAAAAGAACCACCCCCATTTGGCTGCGGCTCCCAGACATGGCACCTGGTAAACGGGAACAAGGGCTAGAACCTGCGTGACCCTAGCCCTTTCATTTCGAGCCACACCCATTTTCGGGGCATATCCCCATTTGCCAGGAAGGGCTCCCCTACGGCCGGGAACTTCCAGCAGTGACCCCTGCAAGTGAGTTCCCGTGGTGCTTGGGGAGTTGAACTTTTTCCCCGACCGAAGTTGCGCTGGGCTTGCCTGGGTGGCTCATTTTTTGTTGCAGATTCGCTTACATCATGGTTTTTGGCATGTTCTCAGGTTTCTAGTGGTCTTAGTTTTTTTTGGTTCTGGTTAATTATTTTTAGTAGGCTGCTGCAAAACAGAAACAAGTGTTTTTTTTTGCCATACCAAGGGTTGGAAAGTTTACCCCCCTATGTTGCCACGTACATGCTTGATGGGCTCTTTCGACGTGCACTTGCAGAGGTGCGGCAGACTTGCTTGTGTGAGATTTGCGGTTTAGCGCTTGAGAACACTTATGCCATTTCGTTGGACTCTTCCATGACCCCCCACATGGGTGGTTTCCTTTTAGTCTCCCTCAAAAGCAACCTCAAAACGGGTTTCCTGGGGCCCGGACACGCCCACAAGTGCCTTCAGGTACATGAACTTCCAGCAGTACATGGGCAAGTACAGCAAGCAGGATTGGATGAAGGCTAGGTTGGTCAACCAGAAGCACATGGGTATGACAGACCGCAGAGACCCCTTGGTGGACATTTTTGTTTTAAGGGATTCTGTCCCGCAACCATTTTGCAGGGGGAGGAATCCCACTGAAAGACTAGGTGTTTCTTTCGAGTTCGCCGGAACTAGTGTGGGATCGCACTGTCGCTCCCATTCCCTCAGTTAAGATGGGCACACCCCATTGCCATGGCCAGTTCCAGTCGCAGCAGAACCAGCAGCAGCAGGTGGCGGGCTCAGCGGACATGCGGACATCCATGGGGCCGGTTTGGATGTTCCCGTGGATGGTTTTTTGGAGTGCTAAAGGAGGGCTCGAAGAGTGTAGCCATTGGTGGAAACCATAATTGGAGCATCCAAATTGCAACGAAACACCAACCCTCGCGGCAGAAAGGCAACTGGCCTGCCTGTTTCGATCTCAGCCGTATGAAGAAGCGGCCTTTGCCATGCATTCATTTTTTAGAATGTGTTGTAGCTCATTGGCTAGAAGTGATTAGGGTCGCTCACGGAATTGACAGGGGGCCCTTTTTTAATGAGGAAACCATATTTTCCCGGTGGCTTTCAGGTGTTTGGGGGAAGGGCAAAGCCATGGTTGCAGGTACCCTTCCAATCAAAAGGCCCTTGAAGCATCGAGACTCGCCTTTTTGGATTTGGGGGAAAAACTGTTGAAGAAGAGATGAAGGGTGAGGCCAAAGTCTGGCAAGCCTGGTGCTTTTCCTGCTGTCCCAGACAGCTTGGGTAGACTTGGCAGCCCAGGTGCCCTACAGCGCGTCGGACTGCAAGACGCCGGAGGAGCTGGATGCCTGGAAGCAGCGCGGGGGAGCCCAGAGTCAAGGGTTCATGTTGACCCAGGAGCTAAGTAGAACCCGAAACCCATTAGGGGGGTGAAAACAAACCCCTCCAGAGGTGGTCTGAATCCAAGCACTAAAAGGAATTGGACACCCCCCGATCAAAAACAACCAGTGGTTGATTAATCCGGGGTTAGCATTAATTAGTTCTTCAGTGAATGAATTGAGTGTTCCCAGAGTGACTCTTTCTTCACTCAACGAACTATTTCTTCTGGTACTGGAGTGTCTATCCCAGAGTGACTCTACAGTTAAAATCTTATTCCATGGGGTTAGATGAACCTGAGACTGTAAGTCTTGACCGGTAGGGTGGCGATGGGTTGGCGAGTGGTTTAGGAAGAAAATCGGGGAATGGGGTTGGTGGATGGAATGGGTTGGTTCCAGTTTCCTAGATGGTGGGAATGGATTGGTTCCAGTTTTCTGGGTAAGATTGGGAATGGGTTGGTGGAGGGTGGGAATGGGTTGGTTCCAGCTTACTAGGAAAGATTGGCTGCTTAAGGCAAAGGGGGAGAGGGGAAGTAACAGTAGGTCGCGGAGACTTGACTGAATGGCCTCAGGTACGGCTGGATCTCTACTGGTGGGTTGCCCTGTGCTAAAGTCCATAGGCACTTGGGATGAAACCACATAACTACTGATTGGGAAACCGCAAATGCGAACTGGTGCAAAGCGACTTTGTTACATGCACAGTTACTGACAATGTTTTTGATCATGTTCGGGGAGGACATGGGGGTGACATCCCAAATGTCGTGTTCCACAAAAACCTGCCGGGGAGGGGGGGACAGCTCGCCATGAACAGGCAAATGGACCTGAACTGCTGTGTTGCAGTGATTGGCATTCACTTCGAAGCAAGGCACCACTGAACCGCGACTTCTTTGAAGGTTCCCCTTTGGCGTGGTTTGAAAGGGAAGCCACCTGGACACCCCACTTTGGATGTTGCAATGCCCCTCACCAGCTTCTCCAAGTACTTTTGCCATGATTTGCTGGTGAATCTGGTGAGCCTCGCTTGTACTGATTGAATCCCTCTTGCTCAAGGTCCACCGATTTGGATGTCCCATATCTCATTTGGAGGTGCCAGAAGTCGTTGCCGCAGCTCGCCAGGACAGCTGGACATGGTCGACAACTTCATCCCTGACGCGTGGCAGAAGAACGCGGGGAGCCTCAATGCACGATGGCTCTTTGGCAGCTTTAAACTGCATTCTTCTTATTTCTTGTTATGTTATTTTTTTCAGGAGGGGTGGGAGGGGAGTGACTGTGAAGCACTAAGAAGCAAGAAGAAGCCAGCATGCACAGCGTGCCGACGCAAGGGAAGACTCCCGGAGTCCCCGGAGTGCCCTCTTTGGGCTGTTTCAAAGATCGCATCGCCTTTTTTTTGGCCTTCATTTAATAAGCTTCCCGCGGGTGATGTTCATAGGGGACATATTGTCGGAACCCTGAATTAGCCGCGCCATTGACGCTCGGGACAACCTGAGCGACCTGTTGGGCTGCCGATGTGGCCATGGGTCACAAGCTGTGCCTCCATTTTGGGGCGGATGAACACCCATGTACCACCTATTTTGATGTTCACCAGGGGTACAGGGTTTTGACCCACATCCATGTCTTGGGTCCTTTACCACCAAAAACAGTTCCCTCAGCCACGGGTCACACTTCCCTTTGGTTTTTCTTTTATAACCATGCCTACAGCATCTTTCCTCTTTTGGTGGTTGTAAACATCCTTTCGGTTTCTTTTGGCGCGGTGATGTTTTTAGGTCATGTACAGAACCCACACACACACCCACACCATGTTCGGGTGTTTCCTCCCGGCTTGGCATCGCTGCATTCCGCGAGGTCAAGGACAATGTGGAGGAGGCGCGGCCAGGATGTCTCTCGATTTGCATAGCAAGTACCCATTTCGCGGTTGGGTTGAAGGGAAACCACAGGAAAACAGGCCCATTTTGGGGGTGCTTTTGCAACAAAAGAATCCAAGGCTTGGAACGGCATAGAGCCGGGCCGGCCGAAGCGCGTGCCGGACTCACAGCGCCACAAAGGAAAGCAGGGGTCAACCCAGTACCATGGTCCCCCCAACACTTCAAAGACGCTTGCCTTCAACAAACTGATCGGGGCAGGCAAGGCTTTGCGTGTCAGGACTTCAAGAAGAACCAGCAGCGTCTGGTGCGGAAGCCCGAGTCTGGCAAGCAACAGGAAGACCACCATTTGGGCGTGGGTCAAAATTAAGCCACCAGTGGACCGCAGGTTTTAGTCTTTGGTTCCATTTACCTGGGTTCCGTGTTGGGTACCAATTTTTTGATCCACAGCCATTTGTTGTTGCGGGGCTCCAGTTTTAATGCGACCCAGTTGTGACAGCTGGTGGTCGTTACTCCTTTCTTCTTTGAGCCCGCTTGCAGCGTTCCTGATATTTCCACCTTCTGGGGGTTTGGCATGGCGATGTTGTTGTGCGCATTTTCAAGCGTTGGACATAGAGTGAACATTGTTGAAGCTTCCTTGGCAAGTTCGACATCTAGTTGGCTCCAGCTCTTTTATTTTTATTTTTACTGGGAGGCGCGGTCTAACTTTTCAGGCGAACATCCCCACATGAATCTGCCAGGTTCTATTGAGATTCAGGGTTGATCTTGGTAATCATGGTTGTAGGCCATCTAGAGGACCTATGGCAGAGATCTACATTGTTTGTCCGCAAGCGGCCAAGCACTTGAGTAGCCTGCCTCCTTTCCTTGGAACTAAAACGCAGCGTCGGAAACATGGTAACTCAAGGCCATGTTCTGTAACATCAGTGCCACTTCCAGAGCGTCCCGAATATATACTAGACTTATGTCCCTTTTCGGTGCTTTTAAACATTTTGGTTGGCTTCTTTGGTTCTGTTCATGGTTGGCGTGGTTGCCAATTTAAAGTGAGCTTCCTGTGAGTGGGGGGATCTGGGTTTGTCGCTTTTCAGAGGACCCCCCAAAATGGTGGTGTTCCTCTTGTTTTCCCTTTAGGATGTAGGGGAGCTCTACGCAACCGGTGCACGCAAACTGTCGAGGCCGGCGCCGTGCCCGACGCGGACGCCGACACGCCGGTGGACGACAAGTCGGCGCCGCAGGCGTCGAACGACCAGCGCCGCGTCGAACGGGGGCTCTGAATTGCTCCCCAAAAGGAGTTGTTTTCCATTTGGCTGTGGGCCAACACCAATGGTACCATTTTGGTTGGTAGGTGAATTCACCACCCATTTTAGAACTTATTTTAGTGGGGATTGTTTGATGTTCACTGGGGGTACGGGGTTTTGACCCATAGCCATTTGACTTCCCCTTTCAAATACCATCCAAAAAGGGTTATGAGGTTCTTAAGGTGGGATGTAGGGGGGGGTCAATGGGTGTGGACTGGCCTAGGGTTCAAATCCTGAATACGGCTCAACCCTCATCTCCCTCGCCCACTCATCTCCTCGCAAAGCACTCGGTCCTTTGCTTATTCTTATTGCAACCCAATTTAAGTCCAAGTCCTATTCAGGTCCTCGATTTTTGGACATGCAACATGTATTCACAATTTATGAGAGCTCCAAAAATGGCATTACGAATAGGCGCCGAAATTCGCGGTCAGTGGAGGAAATAGCAAGCGACTCCTTTCCGGGCTCCAGCCGGCGATGGGCGTTTCCTCTTTTTGGGGCTTCATACCTCGTGGGTGGGGACGGTGGGTTTAGGGGCGAGACAACCCCAATGGAAAGGCTCTACTTAGCACATCGCTCAGTGCTTCCAGAGATGGCAGCTATGTGCCTCATAGATTTTTGGAGAGACGTTTGCCCAAGCCTCGGCTGGAAGACCACCACGAAGTTTGGTGCAAACCCATTGGCTGACGGGTCCCGGAGGCGGCTGTGGCGGATCCTGCCGGGCCTCCTAGCAGGTCAACTGACGTTGGTTGGACAGCTCTCGGATGTTCCGTGTGACAAAAGCGGGAAATAGGGGGACCTCCAAAAAGGCGTGGGTGGCCCTTTTGGTTTCCAGCCAACATGAAACGGGTACCTGCGAAGCGGCGCTCTCTAATGTGATCATGTCGACTCATGTGGGGGTGCCCCATTTGCGAATGATGAGATCCCCTTACCGTAGAATATACCCTTCCTTCCTCCTTGCCATGGCACCTATCAAGGGTGCCCGGAAGATCGACCTGTCGGGTGCCATGGCTGTTCGCGAAAGAAAGCAAGCAAAGATTGACTTGACTGCCACCTAGGACTTTTGAAGTGAGAATGGATTTCGGGGTAGAGCACCTAGGACTGCCCAAGTGAGAATGGATTTCGGGGTAGATACTATTGACTGCTGAGCCAAGGGTTGACTGCTGCTGCACCTAGGACCTTGCAAGTGACACCGGGTTCGGGGTCGATCGTATTGACTGCTGAGCCAAGGCTTTGGTTCCCATTGGTCAGAAAAAGCGCCGTTGCGCGCGCCCAGGAGGTGGAGAAAGCCCTTGCACAGGCGCGCGCCGCCTTGGCGGGGCCACCCAGCGCACATGGAATCGGGAGAGGTCTACTGGAGGTACCGGGGGGAGGGCCACACCAATCCGGAGGTCCACTGGAGGTGGGGTTCCCACTGAGTAAGAGGTCCTTTGTAAGGATGTTTCGATCTCTTGCACCTCATGTTGGCATCCTGCTTCACATTCAAAAGAGAGGTAACGAGTTGGGTTCCCAGACCGTCCCCGAATCCGAAAAGTGTTGCCGATTTGGTTTGCCTGCAAACCATCCAAGATAGAGTTGCGTTTTGCCCAAAGCATCCAAACAAGTGTTTCCCGTTTTCGGATATACCCAACCAAGGCCATTCCAGGTTTTTGTTGTTCACGTCCGCATGTGCCGCATGGGGAACTTTCTCTGCATTCGCAGGCCATTTTGGCCAAGCGACTGACTATGTTGCTATTTGATGCGCTGGTGAGCGTCGCTGGGACATGCAGGTGCAAACCTGCATCTCGCTGGTAGTGTTTATATACATATATATATATATATATATATATATGGTACCCCCCCCTCCAAAACCCAGGTTTTGTCTGTATTATTGTTTTGCTTGATCCAGAAGTGACCTCGCTGGCAACTGTAGCCTGCCTCCTTTTCCACCTTTGGGGTGTCCAATCGGCTCAGAATTGCTCCCTTTGGCCGCCCTTTTCTGAATGATAATTGACTTTCACCCGGGCCTTCTGCTTTCTGTGCCCGCAGAGCTCTTCGTTTGAGGTAGTTGTGGTGGTTCACCCCCCTACCTCATTGGTCCCTAGATGGGAGGAGCAGGAGGTCAAAGCCAAAATGAATCCGGATCCTTATGCTATGGGGGGTTGTCCAGGATGCGGCGGGTTCGTTTGAATGCGCTCAAGGTGCCGCCTTTGTAATGGAGCTGGGTCTTGGTACCAAAAGTTGTGGAGGAGAATCGAGGTCCGCGTTGAGGAAGCTCATGGCTGGAGACACATGGGTGTGAGTTTAGAATGAGTCTTTTTTAAACTGTAAACCCACCCCAAAAAGGGGTACCCCACGCCCTGGGTTTACTTCTAGATTTGCCACACTTTGCATTTTTGGGAGGGTTTCGACCATGCGTCCAGATACTCCAGCCCAGTCACCGCGGCAGATTCCAATGAACCTGTTTGCAGGAGGTTGTCACTTCTTATTTTTGCAAGCAGGCAGATGAAATTTCGTGAGAGCGGAACACAAGCCTAGCGCAAAGGCTCCGTCTCTGTTTCGAATTTCTTTGATCGCCGTGTGTGTGTGTGTGGCTGGGTGGGTGGGTGGGAGGGTGTTTGTGTGTTTGTGTGTTTGTGTTTCTGAGGGCACCATTTTTCAGGTTGGTTTCAAGGGCGACTGCAAGGAAAGCCACCATTATGGAGTCTTTCAATCCTGATGCCTAGATGAGACTCTGCCTCAGGCCCAATCGAACGCAGTGGAGTCGCCCAAGGCCCGGGGTGTGGGTTGGGGGACGCCGGCTTCACAGCGTTGCTGCGTTAGCAGGATCTAGCCTGTTGTCGTGCATGTTCCCATTTTCTTTTTTGGGGTGGGGGGCCCAGTCGGAAAATTGAACAGACCAATGTGCAGGGTTTGAGTCTCGCAACTTCAAGCAAGATCTTGACCCCTCTCACGGCAGAATCTCGAATTCCCCGCAGCGCCACCCCCTAGCGCTCCCTCTGAGTGCGTTTCAACAGGGTTCCCTTACTTGAGTAGACCCCAAGGAAGACCAAAGCCCAGTTCCGCTCCCTTGTGGTTGAAAATCAACGAATGTTGACCCAGGATGAATAAGCCCGTCCCATTCTTAGGGGGGTGTTCCCTCCAAAAGTGATGAATCCCCACTAAAAGGGGACACCCCCCGATCAGAATCAACCAGGGGTTTATGATTCCGGGGTGAACATTACTCCCTTTCCATTGAGAGGGAAACATTCCCTTGACTTGGAGTGTGGCATGGTGGTATTGGTGTCAAGGGACTCCACCTTTTCGGATGCCCGTAGAAAGGAAGCTTTGAATATACCATCTTGGCAGTTTTGCTGCTGCCTTCGGCTGGCGCCAAGCTGGCACCCCATCTCAGCAAAATGACGAGCCAATTTTTGTTCTTGGGCCTTTCAGTTTTGAAACGATGAAGACACCTACCAACAAGCAGGTGGAAGTATGCCAACTAAACAGGTAAGAGGCGTGGCGTTTGTCTACTACGTTTCCTTGTTTCACTGGATGCCTTGGTTCAGGTTGCGTCGCTTTCTTTGAGCGGCGAACATCGACATCTTGCTCTTCACAATTGCCCTCTCTCCAGGGGCTGAGTTGTGGACAAACAAAAACGATTGCTCGAGTTTCAAGCCACAAATGCTTGCTGTGTACCCCGGCTTTAAAGCCTTTGGGAAGCCAAAAGCTTCAGCAAAGTTACCACGTTGGATCGCACGAGCTCCTTCCTTTCCAGGCGCTCATGGAAAGCGAGGAGAGCTTCGACCTCTTCCGGGCTTGGGTTGATCGGTCCTAAACCGGTTTGCCCTCTTGGGAAGCTCCACTACAGTGCTCGGCAATCCAAAGTGCTAAGCGAAACTCAGGCTGAAACGGTTCACCTTTGCTGCGTTGACTGATTTGAATGGACGTTTTTTTTTCCCCCCTCCTTGCATCAAGCCACATTTCTAGGGTTGCATATTTGTACTGTTTGCACCCCGCCAGAAGGTTTGCTTGCTGGTGCGAAAAGGTCGGGAATGAGGGAATGAACCGTTTTGAAAATTCACGAATAAAGGAAACCACCAGTTCATGACTCCCAGCCATCCCCTTGGGTTTTTAGCTTCTTAGCGTGTAGTAGGTGTTTTTATTTAACCCACTAAAAGTTATTCACTTTTAGCAGAAAGAACGGAAAACGGACAGCCCAAACAAAGGATATCTCGCAGTCATGGATTTCAGCACCTGTGAGCCAGATGAGCCCTCTTGAAAGCGACAAGGGATCGGGGGACCAGGGGCAGCCTGGTACTTTGCCTCCATTTTGCCTGGTTATGGAGCCTTTCAAGCCGGGTTTTCTCTGCGAAAGACGGGCTCCAGGCTGAAGGAAGTCGACTTCCAAGACGGGCTGTTGCGACTTTCACGTGATTCATCTGCTCATCGGGCTCCGTGCTACCTTGTGGTTTGTGGGCCCAAGAACAAAAATATGCTTGTCTGGGGTCAACAAGACGGGTTCTTCGGTTGCAGGTGCCATTGCACCGACTCGTTTTGTTCCTGTATTTGTGTATAGACGTTCTTCTTGTGTTGTTTTGTTGATAGAACTATCTTCTGCAAGCTGTGAGAGGTGGTTTGTCGCACGGTTGGCAGGAGTTCCAGGAGGGGGCCCTTGACATTGCATGTGACATGGGAGAAAGGGGCCCCCATTTGTGTCTTTTAGGCAGGGTTGTGGGATCAAGGGTCTATCCCCTCGTCCGTGATACAAGGGAATCCCCTCTGGGAGGCCCTTTGTGTTGTATCGCAGAAGTGGTCGTTTCCGACCGCCCTGTTTCCAGGGGCAACCCCCCCCCCCCCGAAAAAAAATAACTAAAAACAAATACAAGGAACAGAAGGAAAACCGTGGCTTTCCTTTAACACCAAGCAAAAAATATGTATGGAACTCAAAAGGAACATCGCGGCTTTCCTTTAACTAACGCCTACCAAAAAAGGCGTATCCTCCAAAGTATGACGTACAC